GGCCCGGCCTGGCCGACAGCTGGCGCTCAGGGCCGCCCCTGACGGAGCTTTTTGCACCTGGAGCTTGTAATGCCCGCGGGGCGTTTTAACCTCCTCGGCTTTACCTGCCTGCCTCTATCTGGCTTTGGCACCACCGGATTTTTAAGGTCTCTTAGTAACTTTCCATTGGGCTGTAAAGCTTCGTGTTCTGCCCGGTGCAGCTGGCTTACAGCATCAATAAAATGCTTTAACAGGCTGCGTACAGCAATAAAATGGTTTACAGTAAGGATGAACTGAGTTCCAGATCATAAGGAAAGAGGAGAAGTGGTCAGGAGAGGCACGCTGGTCTTCCCCACCCACCAGGGCTGGGAAAAAATGGGCCTTCCAGTCCAGCCTGTGACTCCTCTCTTGTGGAACGTAGTGCAGCCGTGGTTTGCTCTGCTGAACAGACTAATTCAGCTTGTTTGATTGCTATGAAGTGTTAAGCCCCAGAAAAATATATACTACTGGCTCCGAGTAGAGCAGTCAGAGGAATGTGAGTTTTGTCATATTCCCTCTTCTCCATTCCTTCTTCCTTGCTCCCTCCAGGAGCAAAGAAGCATAGACAGGAAATTCGTGCTCTTTCTAAAGAAGAAAAAAGTTCCCTCCCATTTCACTGTACTTACCCAGCAGTTTTGCGTTTGATTTTTGAGGATTTTTCACTTGAAAGTACAGAGGAAAATTGAGAATATAAACTTTTTTTCCCCTTAAATTACATAGAACTAGTTACTAGCTTTTGTTCATCCTCTAGGTTTGATGTAAAGGATTAGCATTTTGGAGGGCCATATATGAAGCAAAATACTTGTTTAAAAATTCCCTACTGATCCTATTAAAGCAAGCAGAGGCAGGTAAAAAACTTATTTCTGCAACACCAAAAGTTTGGGCTAAATTTGACTTAACGTGCCTTAAATATAAAGACAGAGAAAAGCTTGTTTTTCCTCTTGTACGTTACCAAATTTGTTGTTAGATACTAACAAGCGATGTAGAAGCAGTCTGTGCTCTGAAGAGCTTAAGGCTAAGAAGCTAAGTGTCCACCTGAGGAATATGGGTAGAATAATGTGGAACGTGTGGTAATTAAATTCTGTGACAAGCAAGACCTGGCTTTACCGGGAATTAAAAAACAGCTTCTTGCAAACAGTTCTGTGGGTCATTGATTCTGTAAAATTATTTTTTTGTGCAGTCCTAGGCTGAAGCACAGCAGACTTGAAGGTAAAGTAGTAGTGATTTTTATCAGCTAATTTCCCATTGAGAGCTTCCAACTGACAGAGTAACGTGAGGGAAAACTTTGGTGGGAGGTTGAGAACATTCAGTGACGTTATAACTCCCTATTTCAGCTTCAAAAGGCTCCCTTCCTTCTAGGCAGTGAAGAGAGCTCTTTAAATAAGAGAGAGCCTAGTCCTAATCAGCACTGACCACGCGCGGCCCTTGTTAAAGTCATTGGGACCTGTGAGTGCTCTCCAGTTAGTACAGCCAGATTTCCACTTTACCGCTAGTCATGCGCAGCTTTTACTCTGTGTGTGTGTTGGGGGGGGGGCCCTTGCTACAGTCTGCGTTTATTGTGCCCGTGTGTGTGTGTGTTTTCTGGGATATTGGTGATGCCGAGAATCTTACTTCTCCGTTTCCCTGCGTGTAGGTGAAGAAGATGGGTGGCCTAGGGCTGCTGGCCATGGATGTGCCGGAGCAGTACAAAGGAGCCGGCCTCGACTACCTGGCCTATTCCATTGCCGTAGAGGAGATCAGCAGGGGCTGCGCGTCCACCGGTGTCATTATGAGCGTCAATAATGTAAGTTTCCCCTGCGACTGCGAGTGAGGGACAGGAGTGGAACCGGGTCCGGCATCGGGGGAGTTTATTGTACTGTTGGAGACGGGTGAATTGGAGAAACGGGATCTGTCCTTGCTGAGTTTATGGTGGGTTCTGGTGTCCTGGAGAGCATTAGACACCGGGGAGTTACTGGAGTGCTTGTAGCCACCAGATGCACTAACACAATTCTCAATTCTTAAAGTCTCTGTACTTAGGGCCAATACTCAAGTTTGGTTCCGAAGAGCAGAAGCAGAAGTGGATTGCTCCCTTCACCGGCGGGGATAAAATCGGGTGTTTTGCCCTTAGTGAACCAGGTGATGTGACTGTTATCATTCCTGTGGCAAAGTAAGTAGGGTACCGACTTTCCTTAAGCAAATTTAGGATGGACTTTAGGTCTATCGGAGAGTAACAGTTTACAGAAAGGTGGTTTATAGCTATTTACACAAATTAAAAAAATGAAGTTTCAACGCCCAAGGCATTAACTGCCACCGCTATGTTCCACATCATTGAAAATTTTCACCTTGTCTGTGTGACCAGAGCTCTGGAGACGGCGATGTCTCAGAGATGCTGACCTTTCCCCTTCGTATGTAGCTCCTCTCTGGGAGGGGCAGCGCTGGCGCCGCTGCTGTGACAGGCGGGGCCGTGAGCTAGCAGTGGTGGTGCGGGGTGGGTTTCGGGTACTGGGCTGTTCCCAATTGCCTGAGTTTTGTTTGCCCGGTGCCTTGCTCAGGAAATGGCAGCGACGCAGGAGCTGCTTCCACCACGGCCCGCCTGGACGGCGACGAGTGGGTTCTGAACGGCACCAAAGCCTGGATCACCAACGCCTGGGACGCATCTGCCACCGTGGTGTTTGCCACTACTGATAAATCTCTGAAACACAAGGTGTGTTTAGTGGGGCAGCCGTGAAAAAGAGCCGGGAGTAAAGGAGCTGCAGAGGGAGAAACCCTTTGAAAAGGCTCTGGGGATTGTGTAGCATAGTTAGAGCTGTGCAGGCATTGAAAAGAGAGGCACTAAAGTGCAGTGGCTTTATTCTATCACTCAACTCCCCCTCCCTTTTCCTGGTTACCTGAACGTGTGGCTCCTGTGAAAAATGTGTGAAGGAAGCCTGCTGACACCTGTGTAGTTGGGAAGTTGGCAGCACTCCTAAGAGTTTGGGTCTTGTTGCAGGGCATTAGCGCGTTCCTGGTTCCTATGCCAACCGCTGGGCTTTCACTGGGGAAGAAAGAAGACAAGCTGGGAATCCGAGCGTCTTCCACTGCCAACCTGATATTCGAGGACTGTCGGATACCCAAGGCCAACCTGCTGGGGCAGCAGGGCATGGGCTTCAAAATTGCCATGGTGAGAGATGGATGAGGGGGGCAAGTATAGCTGTGTAAAATGGTGGTTCCCTGACTTACTGCCTTCTCAGTAAGGGGAAAGGGGGAAAAAACCATTTTCAGGCTTATGATCACTGGGATGAGAACTGCTAACGTAAGCTGTTCTGTGTAACACTAGGCAGCTGCCCTTGTCAGGTGGGATAAATCATTGATAGAGTTTGATAAACCATTGATTTAGCATAAATCATTGGCGGCATTTTCCTGGAGTCTGTATGGCATTTCTCAGGTGAAGGAGTGCTGATGCAGCTGAGGCAGTAAGTTAGCTGGGGGGTGGCTCTTTACAAGATTTTCTTTTTTAAATTGTTCTCCTCTTCCTATCCTCTAACCCCTCCCATTTTGGGCTCACAGAAAAAGGGAAAAGTGCTGCCTTTTTCCCTGAATACTTTGGCAGAGGAATACTGTCCTGAACGTACATCCAAAGATGGATGATACCTCAGTTATGGCACATGTGTGACTTCTGAGGAGGAGTCAGGCAGCTGCAGAACAGCAGGTTCCCTGCCGTGAAGTGCTCCCAATGGGAAATGTTCATTGCTTTCCCTGTAAGGGCAAAGCACCATCTATTGGCCTGACTTTCTGAAAAAGGCTGAGCTCCCTGGAGAACAGAACCCGTTGTATTATGTTCAGAAAAAAATGGAACCTGTCAGTCACCAGCCATTTTTTTTAAGACTCTCAAGACAAGATTGATAAATCCTTTTCTCGGTCTGCCATGATTCTGTCCATGTGCGTGATGAGGCAGGTAAGCAGTTAAAAGCCTAATTGGCAAGTGTTTGAGGTAAGTCAGATTATTGACCCCCAATTCACTAGTAATTGTGAAAATGCTTGCTTAAGTGTGTGTATCAAAGAAGGGGGTAAAGAGGAAAACTGACCAGCTTTCCATCTTTCATTTAAAGTCAAAGCAACTACACAGTGAGCCAGGGGGGTCTCTTCTGAAGGGTTCTTTTCAGCTCTATCCAGAGCAGATGCTCCTGGGTTTGCTGAGTTTCCCGTATTTTTGCCTTTTTCTTTTTTTTGTTCCCCCCCCACCCCACCCCCAACTATGCAGCAGTGTCTTTCCTTTCTGTCTTGTACCCTTGACTTCTCTTTGCAGTGCCCAATATGTTTTACAGCCCTCTAGTCCTGCATAGCTGGGATGTTCTGAAGCAAGGACATATCTGTGACCAGAGGCTGCAGCAGCTGCCATCTCTCCCAGCAGGAACAGGAAAGCGGTGGGGGTGGGGTGCCCTGCTGTTTTGGTCGAGTATGACTTCAGCGTATGTCCTGTGTCTTTCTCAGCAAACCCTGGACGCGGGAAGGATTGGTATCGCCTCACAGGCTCTTGGAATAGCCCAGGCAGCTCTGGATTGCGCTGTGGATTATGCTGAAAAGAGAATGGCCTTTGGGTCACCTATCACAAAGCTACAGGCAGTTCAGGTAGGCGCGAGACTCAGTGGTCAGGTCCAAATGTTGCTAGTGCTGGTGGAAAGTTCACATGGGCACCTTGGCTTCGCTTCAGGGAGGTAATGCACTTTGTACTGACTGTGGTAAGCAAAGTAATAGCTTCTGCTTTCAAACACAGATGAAACCTGAGAGCACCTCTTCTAGCAAAATTGGCCTCAGATTTGGGAGACTCCTGGTGTATGTTTTCATGTAGGCAGATGCGGCCACTTCAAACAGCGGTGTTTCTCTTTGCAGTTTAAGCTAGCAGATATGGCTGTGGCGCTGGAGGGTGCGCGCTTGCTGACCTGGAGAGCAGCTGTGCTGAAAGACAATGGGAAGCCCTTCACAAAGGTATTTCAGCCTTGTGTCTGGGGAGCAGTGACAGCTCTGCGTAGCAGCTCTATGCAAGAAAACCACGCTGTGTATGGTATTACTGAGTTTAGCTCTTTGCCAGCCCGGACTGGCTGTGTTTAGCCCTCTGGCAGATTTTTGAACCCTGCTGTCTATCTTTCTGCCCTGTCAGCCTGCAGGGCCCTGTATTTATCTCAGGAGTGAGGGGTGGCCTCTGAGAGCCAGAGGCACTGGCCAGGCCTGGCGCACACCGCAGCTGAGGGGTCCAAGTGTTTAAGCTTGCAAGTGAGGTGTTTGTTTTTGTGCTACCTGCATCCTCAGTGATGTTTTCCTTCTCCAAAGGAAGCTGCAATGGCCAAGCTGGCTGCATCAGAAGCGGCAACAGCCATTTCTCATCAGGTAACTACACAATTAGTCTCTTGGATATACATCATGTTGAAAAGCAGTTTGGCTCTT